GCTGTACGCGTGACAATAATGGTGTGACAAGATTAAGTCTTAACTCCACGGCAGTCTAGAGCAGGATGACCACGAGTGATCCGTCAGGTTGCCACTTGTTGCTGGAGGAGAGGGGAAGCAGTAATGAAAAACTTGCTGTTTTATTGATCATGTAGATCTACAGACATCATGGTTGGAGAAAGGCTTGGGGTTGCAGCATCTTTCGCAGATTGTAACTAACTGATGCTCCCATCCAGTTTAAATCTACAGTCATATCAAGCTGTATTAAATTAAACATGGCTGTAGATGTGTCTAGCATCAGTTGGAAAGGGGGGTCACAGTAGTTCACAAACTTGTCCAGTAGAGAATCAAAATAGCATTATCATGCAAGTCATGTTTGGCTTTAGAAGACCTTGATTACATCTTCTCAGGTCTAACTTTCATAACCATATGTTTGTTAGTTTAATACTTGACATATTTCTCACTCTTGGAATATATCGCTGTAAATTTTTGCATATGTTTTGTTAAATCATATTTGATAAATGAGAATTATTGAAAGAAAAAGAAAGTTGTTAAACTGCGATTATTAAACACAGTTTAGAATGAACAAGGCTCACATGATTTGCTTAGCTGTGAGACACCAGTGCATGCGATGGTGTATAGCATTAAGCCTGTCTATTATGTCAACACCTCTGATGTATAAAAAGATCTCAATGTGTGCGCTAGAAAAGTCCAAGCTTCCTCTGAACGCTGTTGACTCGCGACTACATTGAATGTCTCCAGCCAGGACAGTGCGCGTCCATCCGCTCACACGCCCCACTAGAAATTTGTCCTTCTCCCCGACATGTACGAGCATTTGCGATCACACACAAACCAAACATTAGGGTTAAACAACACGGCATGTTTGTACATTGCATTCCTTCCCTTGTCTCGCGGCCTCTATGTCGTCGCTCAGACCCTGATGTGCGGTGCTGGTATGCCACTGGACTCAACTCAAAATACTTCACTTTGTTGTCTTGGCCATTACACAGCTTGGGGTATATTTCAGGTGTGATAGTGTCCTTGCCTTGTCTAATGTAATGGAATTTTCTACCTTCAAGTCTGTAGAGGCGTTGAGGTAAGAACATTGAATAACTTTGTTATCACATCCCACCTAACAGGGAATATGGAAATCCTATGGACCACAGTGAGAAAATTTTGTAGAAATTCCACTCATTACAATATTTGGAGTGCTGGAAGTCGTGTTTTCACCATGTGGTAAAACCCAGCGGAGGGAATGTTTGTATTCATCAAGATTAAGAGGAATTTGTAGGGGGACCTTTTGATTGATTGCAATCTGTCGGTTGTTTGAATATGATCATTCCCCCTTCCCCCCAGGAAGCGCAGGTTGGTGCTCCGCCTCGACTGTGGTAATGAGGACATCTGAGCAACAGTGGTGGGATGTCATTAAACCTGGGATAATGCTGGGACACTTCTTGGGAAACAATTCATGGCTGTGCATTTTCTGAGGAGGTAGATGATTGTCAGTGTTTGTCAAGGGAAGTATATGGTTTCACGTGTTAAAAGGCTGTTCAGGATTATAATGGTTGTTTAATATTTGACAACAGTGGGACAAATGCAATAGGATGCGAAATAGTCTGAAATACTTTGTCAGGCATGAATCTTGGTGCTATAATATATCTCATAAAAGCTGTTTTTATACAAGATTATGTTGAAGTTATAACAAAAGAATTATTTTCAATGGTCAGGGTTTCAGATCGGTTTATTTTCTTGGACTATTTCTTGACTGATATTTAGTCAAAACGTTGTAATTTTCAGTTTCACTGTGTATGGTGTAGTGGTGATCTAGTGGTCTGAGAGTTAACAGCTTCACTGTGTATGGTGTAGTGGTGATCTAGTGGTCTGAGAGTTAACGGCATTAGTGTGTATGGTGTAGTGGTGATCTAGTGGTCTGAGAGTTAACGGCTTCACTGTGTATGGTGTAATGGTGATCTAGTGGTCTGAGAGTTAACAGCTTCACTGTGTATGGTGTAGTGGTGGTCTGAGAGTTAACAGTTTCACTGTGTATGGTGTAGTGGTGATCTAGTAGTCTGAGAGTTAACGGCTTCACTGTGTATGGTGTAGTGGTGATCTAGTGGTCTGAGAGTTAACGGCTTCACTGTGTATGGTGCAGTGGTGATCTAGTGGTCTGAGAGTTAACAGCTTCAGTGTGTATGGTGTAGTGGTGATCTAGTGGTCTGAGAGTTAACGGCTTCACTGTGTATGGTGCAGTGGTGATCTAGTGGTCTGAGAGTTAACAGCTTCAGTGTGTATGGTGCAGTGGTGATCTAGTGGTGATCTAGTGGTGTGAGAGTTAACGGCTTCACTGTGTATGGTGCAGTGGTGATCTAGTGGTCTGAGAGTTAACAGCTTCAGTGTGTATGGTGCAGTGGTGATCTAGTGGTCTGAGAGTTAACGGCTTCACTGTGTATGGTGTAGTGGTGATCTAGTGGTCTGAGAGTTAACAGCTTCAGTGTGTCTGGTGTAGTGGTGGTTTGAGAGTTAACAGCTTCAGTGTGTATGGTGCAGTGGTGATCTAGTGGTCTGAGAGTTAACAGCTTCAGTGTGTGCAGTGGTGCAGTGGTCTGAGAGTTAACAGCTGGTGTGTATGGTGCAGTGGTGATCTAGTGGTTGAGAGTTAACAGCTTCAGTATGGTGCAGTGGTGGTCTAGTGGTCTGAGAGTTAACGGCTTCACTGTGTATGGTGTAGTGGTGGTTCAGTGGTGTGAGAGTTAACAGCATTAGTGTGTATGGTGCAGTGGTGATCTAGTGGTCTGAGAGTTAACAGCTTCAGTGTGTATGGTGCAGTGGTGATCTAGTGGTCTGAGAGTTAACGGCTTCACTGTGTATGGTGTAGTGGTGGTTCAGTGGTGTGAGAGTTAACGGCATTAGTGTGTATGGTGCAGTGGTGATCTAGTGGTCTGAGAGTTAACAGCTTCAGTGTGTATGGTGCAGTGGTGATCTAGTGGTGTGAGAGTTAACGGCTTCACTGTGTATGGTGCAGTGGTGGTCTTCAGTGGTGTGAGAGTTAACAGCATTAGTGTGTATGGTGCAGTGGTGATCTAGTGGTCTGAGAGTTAACAGCTTCAGTGTATGTGTATGGTGTGTGAGTGGTGTGTCTAGTGGTGTGAGAGTTAACAGCATTAGTGTGTATGGTGCAGTGGTGGTCTAGTGGTGTGAGAGTTAACAGCATTAGTGTGTATGGTGCAGTGGTGGTCTAGTGGTGTGAGAGTTAACGGCATTAGTGTGTATGGTGCAGTGGTGGTCTAGTGGTGTGAGAGTTAACGGCATTAGTGTGTATGGTGCAGTGGTGGTCTAGTGGTGTGAGAGTTAACGGCATTAGTGTGTATGGTGCAGTGGTGGTCTAGTGGTGTGAGAGTTAACGGCATTAGTGTGTATGGTGCAGTGGTGATCTAGTGGTGTGGTGAGTTAGAGTTAACGCATTAGTGTGTATGGTGCAGTGGTGGTCTAGTGGTGTGAGAGTTAACGGCATTAGTGTGTATGGTGCAGTGGTGGTCTAGTGGTGTGAGAGTTAACGGCATTAGTGTGTATGGTGCAGTGGTGATCTAGTGGTGTGAGAGTTAACAGCATTAGTGTGTATGGTGCAGTGGTGGTCTAGTGGTGTGAGAGTTAACGGCATTAGTGTGTATGGTGCAGTGGTGGTCTAGTGGTGTGAGAGTTAACGGCATTAGAGTGTGTGTGTGGTGCAGTGGTGGTCTAGTGGTGTGAGAGTTAACGGCATTCAGTGGTGGTCTAGTGGTGTATTAGTGTGTATGGTGCAGTGGTGGTCTAGTGGTGTGAGAGTTAACGGCTTCACTGTGTATGGTGTAGTGGTGGTCTAGTGGTGTGAGAGTTAACGGCTTCATTGTGTATGGTGCAGTGGTGATCTAGTGGTCTGAGAGTTAACGGCTTCAGTGTGTATGGTGCAGTGGTGATCTAGTGGTCTGAGAGTTAACGGCTTCACTGTGTATGGTGTAGTGGTGTGAGAGTTAACGGCATTAGTGTGTATGGTGCAGTGTGGTGTGGAGAGTTAACGGCATTAATGTGTGTATGGTGCAGTGGTGGTCTAGTGGTGTGAGAGTTAACGGCATTCAGTGTGTATGGTGTAGTGGTGTGTGAGTTAATTAGATTTCACTGTGTATGGTGCAGTGGTGGTCTAGTGGTGTGAGAGTTAACAGCTTCAGTGTGTATGGTGCAGTGGTGGTCTAGTGGTCTGAGAGTTAACGGCTTCACTGTGTATGGTGCAGTGGTGGTTCAGTGGTGTGAGAGTTAACAGCTTCACTGTGTATGGTGCACTGGTGATCTAGTGGTCTGAGAGTTAACGGCTTCATTGTGTATGGTGCAGTGGTGATCTAGTGGTCTGAGAGTTAACAGCTTCAGTGTGTATGGTGTAGTGGTGATCTAGTGGTCTGAGAGTTAACAGCTTCAGTGTGTATGGTGTAGTGGTGGTGTGAGAGTTAACGGCATTAGTGTGTATGGTGCAGTTACAAAGTTACAAAGAGTAACTACAACAGAGTTTCCATATGGAATGTCGTGGGTTCGATCACCGACCGTGTCATACCAAGAGACGTTAAAGTATTTGTTGGTCCCTGCCTGGCGCTCAGCCTTAATGGGTACAACAAGGACTGGTCGTCTTGGAGTCAGTATAATGTGTCTGAGTGGGGTATTCATGCTTAACAGCGGCATGGTATCTCAGTGGGCTAACACTATAATCATAAAACCACCTTAAATCTGGGCTAGTACAAGCAGCCACACATACACACACATGCACCTCGTCATGTGAGCGAAATATTCTTAAGTACAACATTAAACCCCATTTCACCTCACCTCACCTCACCTAACCTCACCTTATTATGTCAGATGCTGTAATTCACAGGGAAAATGTTAATATTTCACTCTCATCTGAGACTTTGATTAATTTTTATCCACTAAGAAAATACTCTCAAGTGACCAATACTAAACACGAAGTTGTCTGTTTTCAGATGGCTCCGATGAAGAAGATTCTCCTAGTACTGCACAGACCTTAAAGGATGAGAACACCAACAGTGGTAAGACAGATTCCAAGTCTACCGACCCAGTCATCAAGTTCGTCAGAGTAACCCGAAAACAGGCCCAGCTCCTTAAAGCCAATGAGGAGAAGGATACTGTGACCGACCTGGAGGATCACAAGGTGAAGGCCACGAAGGAAACTAACAACAACGACAAGCCTTTAAGTGAGACTGAAGCTGAAGATAGTGAACAAGAGGATACCACTACGGATCCCCCTGAACAAGACCTGTCAGAACCGACTCCCAAGACGACCAACCATCAGCCAATGACAACAGACCACCCAAGACTACGGGACCGAACCTGTGAATACTGTGGCGCCGTGAAACCAACTCCCGCTGCTCTTGCCAGACATCTTCGGAAACACACAGGAGAAAGACCGTTCGTGTGCCAGGTTCGTGTTACAGACACAATCACAATAACTTCTCGGCTGTCACGCTTTTGATCTAGGTTTGCTTATCTACATGGACATAGTGCTCAAATCTCAGTTCAGTTGCCATGGTTGGTATAGTCAGGGAAAGAAACCTTTCAAACTTTCCCACTAGACCACAGGACCAGTGAGTGGACAATACTTAGTGGTGGTGTCTGTACCACATTGGTCCAAAATAACATTTGTAGATTTACTTAACTATCAATAAAAAATTCACTGGCCACCAGGACCACTGCAAACCTATCATTTAGTGGTCCTGATGAATTTTTGCTAGCCAGGGGCCACAGGACCAGCGTAAATTTCGCACATTGATAGTCATGCTGGTGGGTTTCACTAACATACTGGCTTTCCTTGCATGTGATTGCCATGCCATGATATGGTGGAAATGCTCTTCAAGGCATCATTTTACTCACTCACTCACTCTTCATATCCCTGGAGCAGTCTACAACTTTGTCTAAAGCCCGGTCAGAATTTCTTGTCTAATTTAAGAAAGTCATGTTAGGTCTGCTAATGCTGGTACATCTGATTACAGGGACTTGAACTGAATGTTAAGCTGGGGTCATGTTCTACCACAAATTGTCTTGATTTGGTTAGAGGCTGACATTAAGCCTGATGTCTTGATCAAATGTCACTGAAAGAAGAACATCTCAGTTCCTCATATTATTGATCTCATTCGGGTTATGACTTGTATCACATTGAAAACAGGACGAATTTATGGGAAGAGGCTTTTATGTAAAAGTATTGCTGAACAGCCCCTGTTTTGAACACTATTATCCACGTAAACAATCGTCCAATGGAAGCTAAGACCAACACTATACTGCCTGTTTCAGGGGTGCAACAAAGCCTACAAGGCCAAACGAAGCCTTCAGCTCCACCAGCTGACATACCACCCCGAGCTGGTCAACAAGCCGCCGCCGTCATCACAACAGGCTGGCGCTGGAGTCTCCCTCTGCACCTCGTCACTGTTACGGGAAGCCCTAGAGAGCCGCATCAAGCAAGACCTCACCAACTACTCAGGACCGCACCTCGATGAGACAACCGGGGAGTTCGTAGAGGACGCTGACGGACAGGAAGTGAACCACGTCCCAGAGCCCGTGGAGAAAGACCGGGAGAAAGAACCCGTCTCTATGATCGGAGCACTGCTTTCCAAGACGGTCAACATGCCCACTGTGCACAAGATAGCGTATGCAGCAGAAGGGCTTAAGTATGAAGAAGAAGAAAGCGCTGAGAAGCTGAGCAACCGAACCTGTAACATCTGTGGGAAAGTGTGCTCCAAACCATGCGACCTCAAGCGGCACATCCTCATGCACACTGGGGAGCGCCCATACAAGTGTGAGGTAGGAACAATCAAAATAGATGGAAGCACCAAAATAATTTTACATAGTCACTAATATATATTTACAAACCGGAAATTTTCTCTCTCCACGTCACAGATATTTAAGATAAGTAACCAACAGTTGTAATTCTATTGAATGTTTTAACGCATATCCCTGAAATCTGAAATCCCTGAGACCAATATCCCATTGTGTTTAGAATACCAGGCAGGTTAGTGATAGTTCATGTTTTGTGGTTGACACATGTCATCGTATCCCAGATTGATGCTCATGCTGTTGATCACTGGATTGTCTGGTCCAGACTCAATTATTTACAGACCACCGCCATATAGCTGGAATATTGCTGAGTGCGGCGTTAAACATCAAACCAACCAACCTACCAACCAAATCATGTTTTGTGATATCATATCCCTGGATGTTGGATTCTATGGTATCTAGAATATTTTTATTTGGCAGTTTCACAGAAAATGTTGCTAAGTAGCAAGCTCATGGGACTTTGATCTGTTCAGGTGTGTGGGAAATGCTTCAAGGCCAAGGCCAGTATGCTGTACCATCAACGTGCAGCTCACAACATGGCCGTTGAGCTGAGTCAGGGCCTGGAGGAGCGCTATCTACGACTGAAGAATCGTGCTCTCATGAAGTCTCTGCAGGTCCAGGACCAGATCCTGGAGCGGGAGCGAGCACTGCTGGCAGCTGCTGGGAATGGAGGCCAGGATGTTGAGGAACTGGACGATATGGAGGAAATAGATTCTGAATTGGCAGAAGTTAACTCTAGCTCATCCTGTAATACTGACAAGTGGATCAAATACAACGATGATTTCACCCAGAATATTAACCGACAGATTTCTAATACAAGTGAAGGTTCGGTAATTGATGAGGACAGTTTGTTAAATGACTCTTTAGAAAATGGCCATGAAGGGACTATTGTGGATGATGGTGAGTTTACGTGTAGCAAGTTACGTATACGCAATGAGACTGTGATTGTAACCAGACTGGATGGCGTTGACTCTGCAACTGGGAAGGAGGTTACAATGTTTAAATGCTATATATGTGGGCGAATGTTTAGCTCGCTTAGTCGTGTACAGTGCCACCTATCGATGCACTTTGAGCTGGAGATCACTACATACCAGTGCAAGTACTGTGATGCTACCTTCAAACACAAGTCACTCATGGTGCAGCATGTCCTCAAGCACAAGATAAAGGGTGAGAATGTGGACGGTACTGACAATGCTTTGTCCGATGAAGAAGACTATCATGTGAAGGAAGAACCAATGGATACTACAAATGAAAATTCAGGCATAAGCCCATCATCAGAGTCTGACAATACCAAAGTGAGAAGTGATGGATCAGAAACATCCCCCGATTTGAACCAATTGAAGCCAAACAGGTTTAATGGTGTACATGAATGTAAATTTTGTCGTAAAACATTTTCTCGTCAGTTTCTGCTGCAGCGACATGAGCGCATCCACACTGGGCAGAAGGCATTCTACTGCAAGGAGTGTGGGAAGGGATTCAGCGAGTCGGTAAATCTGTCACAACACATGAGTCTCTTCCATGCTGACTCCACCCTGGGTAAACAAGGGACCAGAGGTTTTAATAGGGCCAAACATCGATCTTTGCTCAGAATTGCCTACTGGGATAAGTTCCCTGGTCGGGCCCCTGATCAGGAAGGGGAGCTAGACGATACAGAACCAGCCACTCCAGCTACTTCAGCCACTCCACCAAAGCATTCAGAAGATGATCAGAACCAAAAGGACATGGAACAAGCCAAAGAGATGCTGGAGAAGGATGGAATCAAAGAAGAGGTAACTGTGGTCATGCCGTCTGCTCCACCAACAAACCCCAGTGATCCAACGCCCACCAACCAAACCACTGCACCTCCATCAGAGACCAAAGCTGAAGAAAAAGATCAGGAGGAAAATTCAAATTCTGAGATAATGACTGCACCAAAGCGGTCACTCATTTCATTTTGCAAGGATGGTCCACCTGTGAAATCCAGAAGAAAGTCTGCTGCTCCAACAAAACTTGGGAACTCTAGTCCAGGTTCCACCCCTGCTTCCACTGTAAAGAGTTCTTCTCCCGAGCTGGACCTGAAGATCAAACAGGAGATGACGGAGGAGAGTGAAGGTGAAGCGTCAGTTCCTCCCCCTCCTCACTCGGCGTCAAGTGGTGATGAGCTCCCAACTGTCACCTACTCCACAGCCAGCATGATTGCTTCCATGAACCCACTGCTTCTTGCAAACCACGCTGCTGGGCCATGTCTACTTGGGGCGGGCCTTCTCCCGCGACTACCGTCTGCATCTAATCTTGGTGTTAGTGCTATGATGAACCTGCCCATCTCTATCCAGGTCCCCAGTGAGCCCCCCACCACCAAGAGCCCCTCCCCTACTCAATCCTGCTCATCCAACTCACAGGCTTCGCCATCTGATCCGGACATGCTGGTCGGATGTCCCAGGGTACAATGGAATGCTTCGTCGGGGGCGGACTCGCCGCCTCTGTCATATGGCAGAGATTCTTCCGATCGGAAACCTCTTCCCGACTGGCATCCCCTGTCTAAACTGGCTCTGAACCAGATCGTCACCCATGATGGTCGCAAGGTCACCTCTCTGTCGCGTACACATTCCAGGTAGGTTTCTCAAGCATTCTTGCATGGACTGTGCATGTATTTTGTACCTATTGTGTAAACATGTGGTCTTGTCAAGTTTTTATAAGGGAATGAAACTGTGATAAGTTTGAAACAATAACTGACTAATGCTAATTAATGATATGATTTTGCTCTCATATAATGTGGTAAATCCGAAAAAGTATATTACGTGAAAGGTGAAAAGGTTTATGTTAGAAAACGACTGAAAAGGCAGTAGCCCAGTCGTTACAGCGTTCACTGGTGACACTGAAGGCCCAGGTTCAATTCCCATCATTAATACAGCCTATTTCTGGAGGGTCAGTCATAGTGCTGGACTATTGGTAAAAGTTGGGTTCTACCCAACTGACTCCCTTTGACAGTCTGTCAATGTCTAAGATTTCTTTGTAAATGAAACAGCTGTTACAATCAATCTTTTCACCTGACATGTCTCTTTCATTTTCCTCGTTTACTTACCAGCTGTGTCTCTTGATTCGTAGATAATTGTGTTTTGCTGTCATTGTTGTGCTTGTAGAAAAATATCTACTGATGGTTGACCCAGAGTTGTGCATCATTCATTAACTAATACATGCAGCTGAAAGGTACCGTGCAACAGATGGAGATCAAACTGTTCATGCTGTCAGCATTTTAGAATCTCCTACAGAGAGTGTGTGTTGAAGTGTTGGATGTTGTGTATCCTGCATGGTGGTCTGGTCGACCAGGTCTGTGTTACCATGGTTGCAACTAACAAATTAAGGAGTTAAGGGTCTTCACACATTGGAGTGTCTTTCCACAGTTGTCAAGTCATTGAAACAGAATATGCCAGTTGTCACCAGTCGTCAGTATGGTAGCAGCATACTAACTATTGTTGAACACATCCACATGAACACTATGAACACAATATAACAAAATGGAATTATCCTACAGCCATCTACTTCTGAACATTTTCATATATTTACTGAATCATGGGTTAATAAATAATTGAGATTTCCAATACATAACCACAGACCTTTTGTAATGTTCGATTTACAAGTATACAAATCTGTCATGATATCTGGATATATTTAGGATAGTATCTGAGAGATGCTGAATCGAGTATGGTATAGTGTATTGGTGTACATGTGACTCAGATTTGCATGTAAACCATCTCTGGTCTACTGGTCTGTGTCTATATGTAGTCTGCGACCTCGTATTGCGCTGTACTTGACATGTCCATAATCGTAAATGAAATTAAAAACTTTTAAGGCCTATTCTATTATTAAATCCGATTAACATCACATTTAATCAACACGTTTGTGAAAAGATTATTATTATAACTTTGATAGTGTTTCAGCGAGAGCCATTAAACGAACGAAGCCGGTTAATATTGACCAAAGGATAGAACTCCATCGTATCGCGGTAAACACTAAAACTCGGATTGCAAGGCGAAGTAAGGGAAAAAAAATGAAATTGTTTAACTATCCTTAACGTGAAATCAATTGTAATTGAAGGTGCACAAAACTCTATCCATTATGAAATTTTATTCAAGGAAATAACCAAACTTCCAAAATACTTCATTTTCATCATGATTTTCTTAATATTTGTTTATACTGTTGTTTTTTGGTTTATTTCAGGCATGATTTCAACAATATTTCAATGCAAAATATTTGAAATAATGTTATAATATGAATAAATAATTATGTGAACAACAGTATAAGAAAATCCTTTCTAAATTTCTAGTTTGTTGCAGTGTGCAAATCGTTTTCAGTGAACAGGGATCATTTTTACGTTTTGTGTCCTTATTTGAATTACAACTTTTGGTATTCACCGGGAGATAAATAAAGCTCATGACGTCAGCTACCTTATATGGCAACATGAGATGCAGACGACCTAGTTCAGATCGAGTGGGAAGGGTCATATACGACACGTAAATATTATAGCGTGTATTTGATGAATGGGGTTCAGACAGATTCCATTAGATTCAAGAGTTTAATGTTAATATTTCTGCTGCATAATGCTTACGAAGATTCGATACATCCTGCTGGGTTCTAAAAAGTAAACAAGCGACTGACGTCTGGCTGTCGATTTACATATGCAAATCACCACTAGAAGGCGAAGGAAAACCCGAAATACTGTTTGCCGCGATACAACGAGGTCCGAGTATACACATTAATCGCTTGATATTGGGTCATGGGGGCAACTGATAGATATTAATTACAGTTGTGGTTTGTTTGTAGGCAGGGTGAAAATGTTCAACGTGTTCAACGTGTTTCAAAATGCCCTACTCAGATTTGCTCAAACACAGGAAAATCAACTACTACCAAATAGTTAACATATTCCATTAATCCTGTATATAGCAGTGGTGGTCCCAGCACTAGTATATGGTAGTGGTGGTCCCAGCACTAGTATATAGTAGTGGTGGTCCCAGCACTAGTATATGGCAGTGGTGGTCCCAGCACTAGTATATGGTAGTGGTGGTCCCAGCACTAGTATATAGTGGTGGTCCCAGCACTAGTATATAGCAGTGGTGGTCCCAGCACTAGTATATAGCAGTGGTGGTCCCAGCACTAGTATATAGCAGTGGTGGTCCCAGCACTAGTATATGGGTCCCAGCACTAGTATATAGCAGTGGTGGTCCCAGCAGCACTAGTATATAGTGGTGGGTGGTCCCAGCACTAGTATAGGTAATTGGTGGTCCCAGCACTAGGTGGTGGTCCCAGCACTAGTATATAGCAGTGGTGGTCCCAGCACTAGTATATAGCAGTGGTGGTCCCAGCACTAGTATATAGTAGTGGTGGTCCCAGCACTAGTATATAGCAGTGGTGGTCCCAGCACTAGTATATAGTAGTGGTGGTCCCAGCACTAGTATATAGTGGTGGTCCCAGCACTAGTAGTATGGTCCCAGCACTAGTATATAGTAGTGGTGGTCCCAGCACTAGTATATAGTAGTGGTGGTCCCAGCACTAGTATATATAGTGGTGGTCCCAGCACTAGTATATAGTAGTGGTGGTCCCAGCACTAGTATATGGCAGTGGTGGTCCCAGCACTAGTATATGGTAGTGGTGGTCCCAGCACTAGTATATAGGTGGTAGTGGTGGTGGTCCCAGCACTAGTATATAGCAGTGGTGGTGGTCCCAGCACTAGTATATAGCAGTGGTGGTCCCAGCACTAGTATATGGCAGTGGTGGTCCCAGCACTAGTATATAGGTGGTCCCAGCACTAGTGGTGGTCCCAGCACTAGTATATAGCAGTGGTGGTCCCAGCACTAGTATATAGCAGTGGTGGTCCCAGCACTAGTATATAGCAGTGGTGGTCCCAGCACTAGTATATAGCAGTGGTGGTCCCAGCACTAGTATATGGTAGTGGTGGTCCCAGCACTAGTATATAGCAGTGGTGGTCCCAGCACTAGTATATATATGGTAGTGGTGGTCCCAGCACTAGTATATGTGGTGGTCCCAGCACTAGTATATGCCCAGCACTAGTATATGGTAGTGGTGGTCCCAGCACAGCACTAGTATATAGTAGTGGTGGTCCCAGCACTAGTATATGGTAGTGGTGGTCCCAGCACTAGTATATAGCAGTGGTGGTCCCAGCACTAGTATATAGCAGTGGTGGTCCCAGCACTAGTATATAGTAGTGGTGGTCCCAGCACTAGTATATAGTAGTGGTGGTCCCAGCACTAGTATATGGTAGTGGTGGTCCCAGCACTAGTATATAGCATGTGTTTTAACAGTGGTATGTTTGTGAGCCTCCTTGTTGGGAAGTGTCCAGATGAGGGGAGATAACTCTAGATCAGAATCACCGTTCCGGCAAGTGATATGTTTGTGGCATGATGTGGTGATAACTGTCTGTGGCATGATGCTGCATCCTGTGCAGTTTCTTCATCAATTTTCATGTTTTTCATGACAAATTTGTTTTAAAAAATGTTACTATATTTTGAACAGTTTGAGATAGTATGTATAATATTTCACATTTTACTACACTGTAAATGTTCTCCAAATGCCAAGTACTCAGAATAGTTAAACTCAATAACTATAACAGTGGAAAACTCTCACATCAGTATCGAATTACCAGATTTCAATAACACATCATAAGTATTCTCTAGATCTGAATGTGTCACCAGAATAAATGATTTCCCTTAAACAGTATACGTTGATACATGATTTATCCCAATAGAATGTGTATCTTTGTTGAAATTAATGTGACTTTTCTCTGTTGCAACCTGAAGCCATTGTATTGCTGCCGCTGTCATCACCATCATCATCACTCTGGGTCATTACTAATCAGTAGATTAATTTTTCTTTTATTTTTAATTCAAGAAAATTTTCTGCCAGGTTGCATGTAGTCAACCAACCAGTTGATAGGGAACAGGTTTGCAAACCCACAATCCTGGCTGATGGGCGCACCGTCTACCGATGTGTGTTTTGCTCCAAGGACTTTCTGTCATTCTCTGATATCAACCGACACATGGACTTCCATGAGGGTAGGAACTGTTCTTTCATCAGAATCCCGCAGGGGTTTCATGTGATTTTCTGTTATTAGTTGGTGCCAGTGTCTGACTTTGTGGAATATTGGTCTTTGTTACTCCACAAAGTCTGTGTTAAAAGTATGTGAGTTACGATGTTTGGGACCAGTGCTCCACAAAGTCTGTGTTAAAGTATGTGAGTTACGATGTTTGGGACCAGTGCTCCACAAAGTCTGTGTTAAAGTATGTGAGTTACGATGTTTGGGACCAGTTCTCCAGAAAGTCTGTGTTAAAGTATGTGAGTTACGATGTTTGGGACCAGTTCTCCAGAAAGTCTGTGTTAAAGTATGTGAGTTACGATGTTTGGGACCAGTTCTCCAGAAAGTCTGTGTTAAAGTATGTGAGTTACGATGTTTGGGACCAGTTCTCCAGAAAGTCTGTGTTAAAGTACGGAGTTATGATGTGTTGGAACCCCTTACGAGGTGAGGGGTTCCGATAGTCTGTATCATTTTGTGGGGTCATGAGTCTCTGATGTGTGGTTATTTACTATATGAATTGCAAGTTTCGCTACTAGTTTAAAGGTCTTTGCCAGGATCAGTGTTTCCATAAAACAGTGTGGATATAGTTAAAGTACTCATGTTAATAATAACTGCTGGTACTTTGTGTTTCTAGTTCTACAACACAGTAGGTTCTGTGTATGCCTGATAGCCTTATGGAATAGATGTAATATAGTCATGTGACATTGTTACAGATATCCGGCCATACAAGTGTCAGTACTGTGACTACTATGCTCGAACAAACAGTCAGCTGAAAGTCCACATGATGCGGCACCAGGGTGAGTCCTCCTGCGCTGTCACCTGCCTACTGACTTACTGCTGTGTAACTTCGTACTTGTGTTGGCCTCGTTTGAGATATGTCTCTTTTGTCAGTAGCTAAGCTAATATTAAACGTTTATTGTCTTACTGAGTTGTCAGCCCTACCTTCAAGTGGCAACTAAATATGTTAAGTTATCTGCCCCTTGATCCAGGATCATTATGTAGCAAGTTATCAGACCAGAGTACAGCATTATGTAGAGTTATCTGCCCTTGATATGGGAGTATATATATATATATAACAAGTTATCAGTCCAGAGTTCTAGATGATGGAAAGTTGTCTGCCCTTTATCCAGGAGCAATACGCAATAAGCTGTAAGAGGTATCGGCCCTTGTATTGGAGAATCCTGCAGTCAGGACATGTAAAGTTATCTGCCCTTTATACATGAGTATGAGTTTTTTGCAACAGGCTGAAAGAGTTGACTGCCTTTCTTCCAGGCATTCGTGAGTTCTGCTGCAAGCTGTGTAACTACAAGGGTGTTACCCAGTCGGATCTGAACCGGCACATGAAATCTCAGATACATATGCTCAAGTCTCGCAATGAGTGCCAGCGCTGCGGCGAAGGCTTTGTCACACCGAAAAACCTGGAGAAGCATCTGGAGGGCAACTGCCTCAGCAAGGTCCACAAGTCTGAGAGTTTGGACAGTGGGGAATATAACGACTGATCTGTATGGTCTGTCCCGCCGTCGCCGAACAGGAGCTCCACAACTGTGTACAATGTTTCCTCCGATTATTTCGTTACATCTTTTAGTATGGTTTACAAACTTTATGTCCAAAGTCTTTCAGTTCACAAGTCTCATGTATTTTCGTCATGTTAGCATCAAGAAATCACTGAATTTTAGCTGCGTATTTCCTTTTATGACATACATGTTCATACATTATCATCATGAGCAGACAGGAGTTATTGCCTTTTGATTATGAGTGATTGTATTGTGTGTAATCAAGGCATTTTTGGATAACTACCTCGTATTAGCAATCTCATATTTAGCCATCACAAGTAGCTACAATCTGTAGTATTTGTTGTGTTATGGTACATATGGAATCAGAGTAATATTCACCTCACAGCTCATCGCTACACATCATATCAGTACACAACATGGAGGAAGCATTGTGCTCGATTGTTTCAGGGCTTTTGTTTAAAAATTGCAGTATTTGTAGAGACGTTAGATCTTTGTGAATTACAGGCAGGTAGAATTTATTGTTTTTCTACAGCAATAATGTTATCAAATCAAAATGATGTATATTCTGTTATATTGCTGCAATGTGTATGATATGTTATATCGCTGCGATGTATATATTGGCCAGTTTCCTCGTTACATTCACCATCAATCATTGTTATCAATATCACATGAGAGTTACCTCCCTTTGGTTACATCTACCCGTGCGGCAACGTAGGAACTTTCTCCCTCAAGATAGTGAAAGTGCTGCACATGTGAAGTTGTTCAGAGTTGTACAGATGAGAAGCACTGTTATTGCTGGAACTAAGCACTGCTGTAAACTGCCTCCAGGTGGTGAGATGCAGCTACAGGGAGGTAACTCTTGCAAGACTATCATGTTGAAATGTGTATATCTGCTCCGTTGTTGAGACGTTGTTTGTACAGAACCAGTTTGAGGAGGATGATTACAGACCAGAAAATCCAGTTGTGTACTTGGACCTCATTGCTATTTTATGAAATATTTTCAAATTATTTACACAAATGAATTTGTTTGGAGACTGTTTGGGATGGTGCTCTAGCACTGTTGGTGGTGTGGTCTGTTATCAACAAGTTGACTCTCGTCAAGTAGACTTTGCATAAATAGGAAATACACTTACGTGGAAGCCCTCTTTTGATCCTACAGAAGATTTCCTTCATAAATACCAAAAGGTAAAGAGCGCCTGATCCGTTCAAATCATTGTGAAAACTATCCTGACACATTAATTATAGTATTATGAATGAATTGTCTATTCTTTATCTCAATCGGTAAATCTCAGTTGACTACCTACCTAAATGGGGGCGGTGGGGTAGCCTAATGGTTAAAGCGTTGGTTCGTCACGCCGAAGACCCGGGTTCGAATCCCCACATGGGTACAATGTGTGAAACCCATTTCTGGTGTCCCCCGCCGTGATGTTGCTGGAATATTGCTAAAAGCGGCGTAAAACCAGTCAGTCAGACCTACCTAAATGTTGGCTGGTTTGCTCCACTGTATTTGTACACTGAAACCTTTTAAATCTGGACACCTCTCTTTTAAGGGGATCAGCAAATTTCTGAACAGCTAATTATTGGTAGGGAATAATATATTGTTTGGATATATGTGGGTCCCTATCTAAAGTGTGTGGATGGTGGGCCTATTGGATCTTGCTGTATAACAGGTGATGAGTTACCCAGACATGTGCAAGCCAGGTTCCACTGGTGCATCACCATCTTTTACCAATTGTGATCTAGGATTTATCCAAAGTCAAAATGTGATTGAAAGGTGTTATAGAATTGTGTGGAAGACAGTTTTGGTTACTACTTAACGAGAGTCGACTGACTGGAATGTCAGTCCACAGTTTGAAAGTCGCTGGGTGTTCACACCAGTATCAGGTCCCTGGCCTACACACTGTCCCTCTGAACATCTACTTGAATGAATTATACCATTGAACAAAACCATCTTTCTGGATTTATCTAACCAGTACGTGTCCGAGGAGTGACAGTGTGTTGCCACGGAGATGGTGTGAGCATGTACAACTTGGCCATGGTCTGAGGATTGTCTGGATGTTACGGTGTTGACAACACCATCAGGACAGACCATATGTGATGGTTACCATGGTAACAGTTCTATGGAGAGATACAGTAGATGATGGGCACAGTGGCACAAATGGGACACTGTGTTGATCAAGTTGAAGGTTGTTATCCAGAGTGATATCTTCATTTTAGTTGGGTGGCAAATGCATGTTGTTATGTTGCCATGGTGAATGATGATAGATGAATGAAAAGGTACTGTAGGTATCGCAGTGGCATATTGTTCAGTTGTGAATGTCGAGGCCATGATTCCATTATTAATGTTTGTTTACAGAATATAGTTTTAGAATTGTTTTACCTTCCATGATTGTGATAGATCATTTCAAAAGTTGCACTGGGGTGGCTCCTGTCATGTCGGCCATGTTGCCATGGATATAGAGCGTAGCAACCATTGAGACAAATGAAAATAAGGTGAAGACATCATTACAACCACTGATTGTATAGACAAAGCATTGTGTGTTGAAACTATAAGTGATTATCTTCACAGTCTTGTGTTCTAGTCAGTCCACAGTTTCTCAGTCATCAGTAGGAAACATGTCAGAGAATCTTATTTGTGAACATTTGATGCTTTTGGCAAATGCTTGACTAGATTGTTGCTCGGAAGATACATTTTTTCATGAATCTACCTAAAACAGAGAGGTGTTTTGTGTCTATGTTGCTATGGTTCACTGACCGGCAGTGGTGGGAGCCACTGAGTTTATACTGTCTGATATTTTTCCACATTTTGTGATAGCTGGTGATGAGTTTGGGAAGCATCAAGTCTCTGTGAATATTGAGTCAATGTGCGACCCAGAGATGGGTCCAGCAGTCATGTTGTCGTGACAACAGGAACAGGGTGGCTCTGTAAACTGTGTGATTGCTCATGTGGACAACCTTCGGTTGATTTCCTGAATACTCCTGCCTAGATATGGGATGATTATTGGCACATGCAAGGTCAATTTTCTTAAATTAATCGAAGATATTTCATTTAGTTTGTGTTTATATTATGTGGAAGAGAAAACTGTTAGCTGTTACAAAAAGCGTGGTTTTGTCAGGGGAGATACAGTTCTCACCTGGCCCACTGTCAAGTGCTAATGTACTATTCCCAGAGACTTGGTGCCCTGCAGTGGACTGACTGGGTGGTGGAGACCATTGTGATTGGAGGTGGACATGCTGGGCTCCACTGTTGGTGGATATGTAGTAACAGCCCAGAGATTGTGGAAATCCATGTTGAGTTGTACAGAAATATGTAAATGAGATTTTATCATGTTATTGTTTAGATAGATTTATGTTCCGTGTGGTGGGCATATGGATGTACATGAATGTCAGTGACTCCTATGACGTGTGTATATTTTGGAACAGCAGTTATATTGGAGACTAAGTTTTACAAACCAGAATTGATGTAAATCTGTTTTAGTACTTTTGTAGTGTTCTGTTTAACAGACTGAAGAGTTTTGAGCCTGTCCTCCATGTTTTCCTTGTCTGTTCTCTCTCCTGTGTTGTCTCCCCTTCATCAGTCTGTGTGTCTATCCTGTTGTTAACAGGTACAAGTTATCTCCCTTTCATTACAAAGTTGTTTGAACTGATCTCTTCAGATCTCTTTGATCAGATGTGAACGATTGTTGGCTGGCTTACATTTCTGAAAAAAAGGTGATCAAAACGTTTTCTGAATTTAATAATTGCAAAATGATGTTCACATTTTGGTATGGGCATCATGAAAAAGGGAAATAGCATTCTGCCTGATTGTCTTGACTTGGACTCATATTCGTTCCTACTCACAACTTGTTGAAACGTAATTGTATATATTGGAAATTTGTTAAGAATTTTCTAGTTCGGGGATATTAAGTGATGATTGTTAATGTTTATCAAATTTTACTGTCTGTTATATGTACTGTAGAATGTATAACCAGGTCTTTTGCAAAAGTAACATCTGGTGATTCACTGTTACCATGGTTACAAGAGGTAGAGTTTTCAGCTGTCTTGTAGATCCGTGTTTCAATAGAGAGGTACATAGATAGGGTAGATAGAGCTGACTGTGAAAACAATGAAGCAATCAAATTCTGTAATTCCTTGTCGGTGTATAGGTAGTTGAATTCCCTGAGGTGTTTAAGGAATTAGCAAACATTTAACTGATGATGCATTTAAGTCCTATAGTCAACAATCTGTTTCAGTGTTAGTAAGTACATCATGCTTGCTGTAACAAACTGTTATGAGCATTCAAAGGGCACTCATTATGTTTGAAAAACTGTTGAAGTGTTTTTCTGCCGTTAGTTGTGTTGTTTCCTGTTACACATGTGATATTGTGGATGCGTGATAGACGATACTTGTTATGTTGCATTCACCCATCTTTCGGGGCCAAGCTTGTGTAAGAGTAACCTCATATGGTTGTATTGATGCTTTGTTTTGGCAAATATATATTTCCTTGAGTTTAACCAGATTGTATTTGTCTGAATGTATGTCTGTACGTCTGTGTTTTCTTTTCATCCAAGGTGTGAGAGCAGTGTAGATTTTGAACTTTTATTACAATTTTAGCATTTTATTATTCATATACATAGTGTACATTGGGGCAGGGATTCGGAACTTTGTATTTGCATATATCAAACTCAATGAAGTATTATTGGGTCTCGAGATGCTTCCTGAAATTTTCTTATTCTATTTTGATTTTGTTCGTGCGTGAATTAATGTATACTGAAGTAGTATGATTTTCTTTGATGCTCTTGAAAACACGACCTCCACTTCCGATAGCAGTTTTGACAGTGAAATAGCCTAGCAGTGGCAGTTTCCTACATCGAAGTCCCAGGTTCAATTCCCTAAGTGGGAACCCAATGTAAACCCAACGCTTCTTGTCCTGAGACGTGATGTGGCTGGAATATTGTTTAAATGGACATTGTCCAGTACTCAGCATCTCCAGGGGGGAACAGTGATCATCGGTGGCCATCTGCAGAGTTGTCTCCCTTTGGACCAAGCTGTTCAAGGGTTTGAAAGCCTGATTTGTCCCAGTTTCATGTGTTGGTCCCATGTTGTGGTATTCACTGCAGTGGTGGCACCTGCATCATGTTGGGACTCCTACCGTAGAACAGAGATGTGTTACATATGATAAACACCTGTAGAACTCGCTACAGCAGTACTGGATCATCCTTCTGGCTCTGCTGTCAGTAGATTTGTCTCACTAGTAGTAAGTCAATTCCATCAGTTCTCCTACGTCTGCGTACTAAACATCAGTTATACACTCTAGTGTCACTGTACTGCAGCTGCTAGTGGGGATGTGCTGATGTGAGACGTCTACTGCTAGTGGGGATGTGCTGGTGTGAGACGTCTACTGCTAGTGGGGATGTGCTGGTGTGAGACGTCTACTGCTAGTGGGAATGTGCTGGTGGGAGACGTCTACTGCTAGCGGGAATGTGCTGGTGTGAGACATCTACTGCTAGTGGGGATGTGCTGGTGTGATACGTCTACTGCTAGTGGGGATGTGCTGGTGTGAGACATCTACAGCTAGTGGGGATGTGCTGATGTGAGACGTCTACTGCTAGTGGGGATGTGCTGGTGTGAGACGTCTACTGCTAGTGGGGATGAGCTGGTGTGAGACGTCTACTGCTAGTGGGGATGTGCTGGTGTGAGATGTCTACTGCTAGTGGGGATGTGCTGGTGTGAGACGTCTACTGCTAGTGGGGATGTGCTGGTGTGAGACGTCTACTGCTAGTGGGAATGTGCTGGTGTGAGACATCTACAGCTAGTGGGGATGTGCTGGTGTGAGACGTCTACTGCTAGTGGGGATGTGCTGGTGTGATACGTCTACTGCTAGTGGGGATGTGCTGGTGTGAGACGTCTACTGCTAGTGGGGATGTGCTGGTGTGAGACGTCTACTGCTAGTGGGGATGTGCTGGTGTGAGACGTCTACTGCTAGTGGGGATGTGCTGGTGTGAGACGTCTACTGCTAGTGGGAATGTGCTGGTGTGAGATCTACAGCTAGTGGGGATGTGCTGGTGTGATACGTCTACTGCTAGTGGGGATGTGCTGGTGTGAGACATCTACAGCTAGTGGGGATGTGCTGGTGTGAGACGTCTACTGCTAGTGGGGATGTGCTGGTGTGAGACGTCTACTGCTAGTGGGGATGTGCTGGTGTGAGAGACGCCTACTGCTAGTGGGGATGTGCTGGTGTGAGATGTCTACTGCTAGTGGGGATGTGCTGGTGTGAGACGCCTACTGCTAGTGGGGATGTGCTGGTGTGAGACGTCTACTGCTAGTGGGGATGTGCTGGTGTGGTGAGACATCTACTGCTAGTGGGGATGTGCTGGTGTGAGACGTCTACTGCTAGTGGGGATGTGCTGGTGTGAGACATCTACTGCTAGTGGGGATGTGCTGGTGTGAGACGTCTACTGCTAGTGGGGATGTGCTGGTGTGAGACGTCTACTGCTAGTGGGGATGTGCTGGTGTGAGACGTCTACTGCTAGTGGGGATGTGCTGGTGTGAGACGTCTACTGCTAGTGGGTATGTGCTGGTGTGAGACGTCTACTGCTAGTGGGAATGTGCTGGTGTGAGACGTCTACTGCTAGTGGGAATGTGCTGGTGTGAGGCGTCTACTGCTAGTGGGAATGTGCTGGTGGGAAGCGTGATGGTGTTTAAGATTATACTGCTTCTGTCTGCCATCATCTAACACTGTTAAAACGAACAACAGCTATAATTTATGCTCCACATCCTACATGTTTCATTTAACTGCTTGTTGATCAGGAGTTTGTTCCACAGGTATTCCATGTTGCAGTGCCAAGCTACTTTCACTGACAAAATTGATGAATAATAACTTTCTCTATCACTGTTATGCCATATTACACTGGTAACAATGACAAATATTATTTTAATTGGTTTGTATATTTTGCAGATGTTTCAACCTTTAATTGTTATTGAGGACTAATTGAGTTAAATCTTGGACATAGTATTTGTCATGGCTACATGCTGGAACACACTGGTGACCAGGAAGATAGTATCTTGTCAGTACCCACAACAGAGAATAGTCTTAAAAGGAAGATTACAATAGGCATTTTGTGTTGATGGTCGACCGAGACAACGTGTACCTCGTTCTTACTTACGTATTATTATTATTATTATTACATTGTTTTATAAAGACTACCTCCATGTAAAGGCTCCAGCCGACTACGCTTTACATACTAATATGGAATAAAACATTTCATGGTTATTTTCTGTGCTGTTTTCTATGGTTGCTTTAGGTCTCAATCAGCTATATTCCACTGGGGTGGACAGTTGTGCTATGAAGGTGTATCATACTCAGTAAACCAAGTCCTGCACCTGACCACACATCTTTTTCGGTTGATTCCTATAACAGTTTACTTGGGACCAATTGTATGCTATTATTTCAACAGGGTTTGGGGGCATCATGCCGAAGGCCCAGGTTCGATTCCCCACATGGGTACAATATGTGAAGCCCATTCCTGGTGTCTCCAACCATGATGTTGCTGGGATAGTCACAAAGCAGCATAAAACCCCACTCACTCACTCACTCCACAGGGTTCTGACCTTAGACACCAACACAAATGATGTAACCATTTCTTGTTTGTTGTTTAAAGATGCACTCTTCAATATTCAGCTATGTCTGCAGACAGTAGTGCTTGTTACTGGGGTGGTCTCTTGATTGGGTTTGGGTCTCTATGGTCAGACATTTGTATCTATAACTGGGGTGGGGTCTATGGTCAGACGGTTGTGTTTGTAACTGGGGTGGGGTCTGGTCAGACGGTAGTGTCTGTAACTGGGGTGGGGAAGTGCGGTCTATGGTCAGACAGTAGTGTCTGTACCGGGTGGATATGGGGAGACAGTAGTGTCCGTAACCGGTCAGACGGTTGTGTCTGTAACTGGGGTGGGGTCTATTGTCAGACAGTAGTGTCGGTAACTGATGTGGGGTGGGTTCTATGGTGAGACAGTAGTGCCTAACTGGGGTGGGGTGGGTTCTATGGTCAGACGGTAGTGTCTGTAACTGGGGTGGTGGTGGTCAGTGGCTGGTCTCTATTGATTGGGTCGGCTGTCTCTGGTCTAGTTTCTGGCGACGTGGGATGGGGTTTATAACGTTATTTAGCTGGACCACTACTGGATACAGCGGGCCTCTAAACTCACACTCGGTCAGCGGGGCAGCATGACTCCCACGTGGTGTTGACCTTCAGATCGCCCTGCAACAGAACTGATCAACTGTATATCGATTCAATTGATCAGGATCACGTGACACCGTTGCTTTGATTAGTTTCAGGTAATGGTAATATATCCAATCATATATCTCCATGGCAACGATGTGAATGTGAATGCAAGTGGGGAGGGACAGGTGTTTGTGTGTATTGACAGCGATTGTTGGAATGCTCCATCCTCCTCTGCTTCAGTTTTTGGCGAGGTGAAATAGCAGTCAAGATGATCATCAGAATAGGTAGATTCACGTGACGCCATGTGAGTCATACAGATCGATATGCCGCCCAGCCTGCACAACTATTGACAAGTTTAAAGGTATACGTTCGTTTTTTTAACCTGCATCGGTATATATTTTCAATATCAGTAAACGGTATTGAACACCGATGCCTTAAATAATATAACTTTGTTGTACTTGAGTCGAAAAATATTTAAAAGACATTCTCGGTTTTCGGTGTCGAAAGATTCAGTTTCCGATACTGGAGCAGGACAAACACTTTTAGTCCATGTCTGAACTCAACTGGTGAACTGGGTGAGTATGGTGAAACGCCGCTTCCAGCAATATTCCAGCAATATCACGTTGAGGCTGGAATCAGAATGGTACGTCATGTGAATGAGACGGGTAAGGTTTCTTAGGAGCCCAACACCTCTGCGATGAACTCCTGCAGCCAAACGCTGCCCCCCACCTCCCTGTGTAGCCACGTTGTACATCTCCTCCACCACACACATGTACACGAGACAGTGTGTACCCACCTCCCTGTGTAGCCACGTTGTACATCTCCTCCACCACACACATGTACACGAGACAGTGTGTACCCACCTCTCTGTGTAGCCACGTTGTACATCTCCTCAACCACACACATGTACACGAAACAGTGTGTACCCACCTCCCTGTGTAGCCACGTTGTACATCTCCTCCACCACACACATGTACATGAGACAGTGTGTACCCACCTCCCTGTGTAGCCACGTTGTACAACTCCTCAACCACACACTTATACATGAGACAGTGTGTACCAACTTCCCTGTGTAGCCACGTTGTACATCTCCTCCACCACACACTTATACATGAGACAGAGTGTACCCACCTCCCTGTGATCAGTACTCGCATGTCGCCCATGTACAAGAAGTGCCAGGCAGTGCTTGACGCTACTTAGCTACTGCTTATGATCTCGACCTTTGACTTTGACCACTGTTTAGATGTGCAGTAGACTGGGTTGTTTCGAGGAGAGGAGATGTAAAAAAGGTAAAGCTGTTTGTAGCTGCTGGTAGACATGGAAAGGTAATTCGACCAGTTGAGCCAAGGAAGTGGCCTGGATGAACGTAAGGACATGAAGGTGAATACTTCGAGAACAATGGACCAAAGCTCACAACATGTTCAGAAACTACCTCTGCGGTCTATTGGGCAGTTGAAAGTTGAAACGTTTAAACTGGGAAATGAAAGTTAGACAGATGTCCTGTGTTTCAGTAGTACCACGGTCCGTCTGCAGGATATAGGGGTTTCAGTAGTATCGTGGTCTGTCTGTAGCATATGGGAGTTTCAGTGGTACCAGGTCTGTCTGCAGGATATGGGGAGTTTCAGTGGTACCAGGTCTGTCTGCAGGATATAGGAGTTTCAGTGGTACCACGGTCTGTCTGCAGGATATAGGGGTTTCAGTGGTACCACGGTCCGTCTGCAGGATATAGGGTTTCAGTGGTACCACGGTCTGTCTGCAGGATATAGGGGTTTCAGTGGTACCGTTGTCTGTCTGCAGGATATAGGGGTTTCAGTGGTACCACGGTCTGTCTGCAGGATATAGGAGTTTCAGTGGTACCACGGTCTGTCTGCAGGATATAGGGGTTTCAGTGGTACCGTTGTCTGTCTGCAGGATATAGGGGTTTCAGTGGTACCAGGTCTGTCTGCAGGATATAGGGGTTTCAGTGGTACCAGGTCTGTCTGCAGGATATAGGAGTTTCAGTGGTACCACGGTCTGTCTGCAGGATATAGGGGTTTCAGTGGTACCAGGTCTGTCTGCAGGATATAGGGGAGTTTCAGTGGTACCACAGGTCTGTCTGCAGGATATAGGGGTTTCAGTGGTACCGTTGTCTGTCTGCAGGATATAGGGGTTTCAGTGGTACCACGGTCCGTCTGCAGGATATAGGGGTTTCAGTGGTACCGTTGTCTGTCTGCAGGATATAGGGGTTTCAGTGGTACCAGGTCTGTCTGCAGGATATAGGGGTTTCAGTGGTACCAGGTCTGTCTGCAGGATATAGGGGTTTCAGTGGTACCACGGTCTGTCTGCAGGATATAGGGGTTTCAGTGGTACCACGGTCCGTCTGCAGGATATAGGGGTTTCAGTGGTACCAGGTCTGTCTGCAGGATATAGGAGTTTCAGTGGTACCACGGTCTGTCTGCAGGATATGGGGGTTTCAGTGGTACCGTTGTCTCTCTGCAGGATATAGGGTTTTCAGTGGTACCACGGTCTGTCTGCAGGATATAGGGGTTTCAGTGGTACCACGATCTGTCTGCAGGATATGGGGTTTCAGTGGTACCAGGTCTGTCTGCAGGATATAGGGGTTTCAGTGGTACCACGGTCTGTCTGCAGGATATAGGGGTTTCAGTGGTACCACGGTCTGTCTGCAGGATATAGGGGTTTCAGTGGTACCACGGTCCGTCTGCAGGATATAGGGGTTTCAGTGGTACCACGGTCTGTCTGCAGGATATGGGGGTTTCAGTGGTACCACGGTCTGTCTGCAGGATATAGGGGTTTCAGTGGTACCACGGTCTGTCTGCAGGATATAGGGGTTTCAGTGGTACCGTTGTCTCTCTGCAGGATATAGGGGTTTCAGTGGTACCAGGTCTGTCTGCAGGATATAGGGGTTTCAGTGGTACCACAGTCTGTCTGCAGGATATGGGGGTTTCAGTGGTACCACGGTATCTCTGCAGGATATAGGAGTTTCAGTAGTACCACGGTCTGTCTGCAGGATATGGGGGTTTCAGTGGTACCGTTGTCTGTCTGCAGGATATAGGGGTTTCAGTGGTACCACGGTCTGTCTGCAGGATATAGGGGTTTCAGTGGTACCGTTGTCTCTCTGCAGGATATAGGGGTTTCAGTGGTACCACGGTCTGTCTGCAGGATATAGGGGTTTCAGTGGTACCACGGTCTGTCTGCAGGATATGGGGGTTTCAGTGGTACCAGGTCTGTCTGCAGGATATAGGGGTTTCAGTGGTACCACGGTTTCTCTGCAGGATATAGGGGTTTCAGTGGTACCACGGTCTGTCTGCAGGATATAGGGGTTTCAGTGGTACCGTTGTCTCTCTGCAGGATATAGGGGTTTCAGTGGTACCACGGTCTGTCTGCAGGATATAGGGGTTTCAGTGGTACCACGGTCTGTCTGCAGGATATGGGGGTTTCAGTGGTACCAGGTCTGTCTGCAGGATATAGGGGTTTCAGTGGTACCACGGTTTCTCTGCAGGATATAGGGGTTTCAGTGGTACCACGGTCTCTCTGCAGGATATAGGGGTTTCAGTGGTACCACGGTTTCTCTGCAGGATATAGGAGTTTCAGTAGTACCACGGTCTGTCTGCAGGATATGGGGGTTTCAGTGGTACCACGGTCTGTCTGCAGGATATAGGGGTTTCCAGTGGTACCACGGTCTCTGCAGGATATAGGGTTTCAGTGGTACCATGGTCTGTCTGCAGGATATAGGGGTTTCAGTGGTACCACGGTCTCTCTGCAGGATATAGGGGTTTCAGTGGTACCACGGTCTGTCTGCAGGATATGGGGGTTTCAGTGGTACCACGGTCTCTCTGCAGGATATAGGGGTTTCAGTGGTACCACGGTTTCTCTGCAGGATATAGGAGTTTCAGTAGTACCACGGTCTGTCTGCAGGATATGGGGGTTTCAGTGGTACCAGGTCTGTCTGCAGGATATAGGGGTTTCAGTGGTACCACGGTCTCTCTGCAGGATATAGGGGTTTCAGTGGTACCACGGTTTCTCTGCAGGATATAGGAGTTTCAGTAGTACCACGGTCTGTCTGCAGGATATGGGGGTTTCAGTGGTACCACGGTCTGTCTGCAGGATATAGGGGTTTCAGTGGAACCGTTGTCTGTCTGCAGGATATGGGGGTTTCAGTAGTACCACGGTCTGTCTGCAGGATATAGGGGTTTCAGTGGTACCACGGTCTCTCTGCAGGATATAGGGGTTTCAGTGGTACCACGGTTTCTCTGCAGGATATAGGAGTTTCAGTAGTACCACGGTCTGTCTGCAGGATATGGGGGTTTCAGTGGTACCACGGTCTGTCTGCAGGATATAGGGGTTTCAGTGGTACCACGGTCTCTCTGCAGGATATAGGGGTTTCAGTGGTACCATGGTCTGTCTGCAGGATATAGGGGTTTCAGTGGTACCACGGTCTCTCTGCAGGATATAGGGGTTTCAGTGGTACCACGGTCTGTCTGCAGGATATGGGGGTTTCAGTGGTACCACGGTCTCTCTGCAGGATATAGGGGTTTCAGTGGTACCACGGTTTCTCTGCAGGATATAGGAGTTTCAGTAGTACCACGGTCTGTCTGCAGGATATAGGGGGTTTCAGTGGTACCAGGTCTGTCTGCAGGATATAGGGGTTTCAGTGGTACCACGGTCTCTCTGCAGGATATAGGGGTTTCAGTGGTACCACGGTTTCTCTGCAGGATATAGGAGTTTCAGTAGTACCACGGTCTGTCTGCAGGATATGGGGGTTTCAGTGGTACCACGGTCTGTCTGCAGGATATAGGGGTTTCAGTGGAACCGTTGTCTGTCTGCAGGATATGGGGGTTTCAGTAGTACCACGGTCTGTCTGCAGGATAGAGGGGTTTCAGTGGTACCGTTGTCTGTCTGCAGGATATAGGGGTTTCAGTGGTACCACGGTCTGTCTTCAGGATATAGGGGTTTCAGTGGTACCGTTGTCTCTCTGCAGGATATAGGGGTTTCAGTGGTACCACGGTCTGTCTGCAGGATATAGGGGTTTCAGTGGTACCGCGGTCTGTCTGCAGGATATAGGGGTTTCAGTGGTACCGTTGTCTCTCTGCAGGATATAGGGGTTTCAGTGGTACCAGGTCTGTCTGCAGGATATAGGGGTTTCAGTGGTACCACGGTCTGTCTGCAGGATATAGGGGTTTCAGTGGTACCACGGTCTGTCTGCAGGATATAGGGGTTTCAGTGGTACCAGGTCTGTCTGCAGGATATAGGGGTTTCAGTGGTACCACGGTCTGTCTGCAGGATATAGGGGTTTCAGTGGTACCACGGTCCGTCTGCAGGATATAGGGGTTTCAGTGGTACCACGGTCTGTCTGCAGGATATGGGGTTTCAGTGGTACCAGGTCTGTCTGCAGGATATAGGGGTTTCAGTGGTACCACGGTCTGTCTGCAGGATATGGGGGTTTCAGTGGTACCACGGTCTGTCTGCAGGATATAGGGGTTTCAGTGGTACCGTTGTCTGTCTGCAGGATATAGGGGTTTCAGTGGTACCGTTGTCTGTCTGCAGGATATGGTCGTTTCAGTGGTACCAGGTCTGTCTGCAGGATATAAGGGTTTCAGTGGTATCACGGTCTGTCTGCAGGATATTAGGGTTTCAGTGGTACCACGGTCTGTCTGCAGGATATGGGGGTTTCAGTGGTATCACGGTCTGTCTGCAGGATATAAGGGTTTCAGTGGTATCACGGTCTGTCTGCAGGATATAGGGGTTTCAGTGGTACCACGGTCTCTCTGCAGGATATAGGAGTTTCAGTGGTACCACGGTCTGTCTGCAGGATATAGGGGTTTCAGTGGTACCACGGTCTGTCTGCAGGATATAGGGGTTTCAGTGGTACCGTTGTCTCTCTGCAGGATATAGGGGTTTCAGTGGTACCACGGTTTCTCTGCAGGATATGGGGGTTTCAGTGGTACCACGGTTTCTCTGCAGGATATGGGGGTTTCGTGACACAAGTCTTACACGTTGACTGATGAACCCATCACATAAAGTATATGGTTCTGACCAAAGTACGCTTCGAACCGTCAATGTTCTGATCCGGACACGGCCAAGGAACGCAACTCGCGGTACTCTTGTTCAAGTCTTGCCCTTCTGGACAGAAGGACCAACCAGTTTCCTGTGACATGTTCGTGAGCGAGTGAGTGAGGTTTTACGTCGGCTTCGGAATTAAACGAGAATATGACGGGGCCTCTCACCTTCCCATGTGAGAAGTCTAACCTGCGTATAGCCACGACGTTACCCCACCCCGCCTGCATCATTTTAATAAATATATTTCGTTCAAATATAGCCTGTTTTAAGAATGAATGCTAAGGGTTCATCCTGTATAGAGAGTGTAGGTTGCTGTTCTTGATTAACTCCCATGCACTGTTCAAGAGAACAATGGGACCTTTTGTCATCTCACTTCCGCATTCAGGTTTCTACTTCCTCAAAGGACAGAACCGTGAACTGATCAGATAAGTGCGCCAGCACCCGTGAAGCCTGTTCAATGACTTATTCCGATTCCTGCAGACCAATAACTTCCTACCTCAATACACGAGAGGGAGCTGACGTGGTTCATACATGTCATCATATCTCATCTTCGTAGATCGATGCTCATACTGTCAATCACTGGATTGTTTGGCCCCGTATTTACATATCTCACACAGCACGTATCAAAATGTCTGAAAATGAAATAACATGAACCTAGCATTTCCAATGCACCTCATTTAATTGCGATGTGTGTTGAAATTGCCAATGTTTACTAAGGTTGAAAACATGGACATTCCTTAGGTGGGAAAACATATGTAAAGTTTTAAAGTTTTAAATGTTTACACGTCTTAGAAATTTATGTATCATAATAACCAAGCGTTATAATCAAAACTGTTATTACAATTAGACTATTCCCATATTTACCCAATTATCACCACTAATATAATATACTCAGAACATAGAAAAATTCATTTCAGGCGACAATACCAAATTTGCAAGAAAAATGCATGCATGCATGCATGCACGCACGCACGCACGCACGCACGCACGCACGCACGCACACACACACAAATATAGACTAACGCAAACCAAACCAATGTTTGATCAATTCAAGATTACTCTCTCCTCTCCACTGTCTCACTTTCCTATATCCCTATTCGTTTTTGTTTGTATATTAGTCATACAGCCATTAAACTTATGTCGTCTCTTATTTATGTCCCAGCTGGAATATATGTATCGTGTGTATTATCCAGCGGTAGGAATATGGCAATATTTGCTTTCGTTATAATAAAAAAAAATCTTAAATTTTCATGTTACCGGTGCTCAAACAAGAGACCATATGTTTGTTTCCATCACGTGAAATACTTGGTTCATGTTTTTCCATTTTCACACATTTTAATACGTTTAAAATCAACGTTCATATGACCTTATTAGTCTTATATCACCTAAACAGTCTGGCAACTTATAGTAACCCATGCTTGTCGTAAGAGGCGACTAACCGGATCGGGTGATCAGACTCGCCGACTTGGTTGACACATGTCATCGTATCCCAATTTCGAAGATCGAGGCTCATGCTGTTGATCACTGGATTGCCTTGTCCAGACTCGATTATTTACAGACCGCAGCCATAAACCTGGAATATTGCTGAGTGCAACAAACAAAACCAAATCCTCTTTGCTATACCTGTAAACGCTGTAGTCGATTTCAAACTGTTGCCTTGTGAATATATAGCGTGCACTTGAATTCTATCAAAACCAATATATATATATATTCTAATTGTGTTCGTCAGTCACAGTGTATATCACTATTGATTGTTAAAACTAATATACATATTAGATATGTCAAGGGCGGCTACAAACAGCCGACGAGTTACCTGCGTGTAGTCACGTGACCGCGTGCATATTCATGAGCCTTCAATATGGACTACACCTCCTCCCGTCGGACCGTAACAACTTGACTGACTTTCCGACAGCAACATGGCCGCTGTGGTGAGTGTATCTTAGCAATGTTGTTATGTGGTGTATTTGCAGTTGAGTATGGTGTAATGTAGATTTATATGTTAACAATTTAGTCTGCTATCAGCACACACTGTCCAGTAATGAAGGCACTCAACGATCGGGCTTTCTTCCGCGATGTAAATCGCCCGCCGTCTTCTGCTGCATTGAAGAACACCCAGAGTGTAGTCGACCGACTCGGGCATGTAGACTTGCCCGGGCTCCTAGACATAGTATCAGCATTGAAAGCATTTCTATGCAACACTTTTTGGAAATGGCAGGTTATAAGCGATTATTTAAGAAAGGTATAGGTGTAAATTGAAAATGATGATATTTTGCATAGGTGTTTTAGTCGAAATCAAATCATACACATGCATACCATGTAAAGTATATTGTGGACTTTGAGGTCAATATTCCAGCTATATGGCGGCGTTCTGTAAATAATCGACTCTGGACCAGACGGTCCATTGATCAACATCATGAGCATCGTTCCACGCAACTGGGATACGATGACATGTCAACCAACTCAGCGACCCTGACCACCCAATCCCGTTAGTCGCCTCTTACGACAAGCATGGGTTACTGAAGATCAATTCAAACCCGGATCTTCACGGGTTTGTGGACATTGAGAGGAGTAGCTAACGCTTCGTAAACGGAGAGCATCCGGGGTGATAAGAATATCCAACTGGTCACGGAACCTTTCAAATATGCGGATATGTTGTATTTTATAGATAGCAATGGTTTATTACTTTGGGAGGTTTCGTTGTGTGTTTTTAGTACTCTAATTTATCAGCTAGAAAATCGATATGGAGAAATAGACATGGGGCGTGCAATCCGATGCACTGACTGTACACCCCAGGTGCACTTTGGACCATTTTGTTCTGTGATCATGTTACTTCGTTTGTCCTGCATACTGAACGCAACCAATGGACTCGCCCGTATGCTCATACGGGGTTTTGTCAGTGAGAGCCGGTTATGATTCAAGTTTGATTTTTCTTTTCTATTACGGCTGAAATACGACGACTGTATGCGAGAACTGGAATATCGCTGTGCAGCGTTGCGTCCCGTAGACGTCCCGTAGATGTTCGTGTGTTCGAATCCAAGTTATCACAAACGCATAAACACCATCTCGTTATAAGATATACTCCTTAGGCAGTGTGTGGTTCCTCCAACTTTGAGTTGATCCGATGTGGACCTCCACCTCCACTCGTGTCCCGAGGGCCGGGAGCTACTCTAGTATCTCCACTCGTGTCCCTAGGGCCGGGAGCTACTCTAGTACCTCCACTCGTGTCCCGCGGGACGGGAGCTACTAAAGTACCTCCGCTCGTGTCCCGAGGGCCGTGGGCTACTCTAGTACCTCCACTCGTGTCCCGAGGGCCGGGAGCTACTCTAGTACCTCCACTCGTATCCCGAAGGCCGGGAGCTACTCTAGTACCTCCACTCGTGTCCCGAGGGCCGGGAGCTACTGTAGTACCTCCACTAGCTCGTGTCCCGAAGGTCGGGAGCTACTCTAGTACCTCCACTCGTGTCCCGAGGGCCAGGAGCTGCTCTAATACCTCCACTCGTGTCCCGAGGAACGGGAGCTGCTCTAGTACCTCCACTCGTGTCCCGAGGGCCGGGAGCTACTGTAGTACCTCCACTAGCTCGTGTCCCGAAGGTCGGGAGCTACTCTAGTACCTCCACTCGTGTCCCGAGGGCCGGGAGCTACTCTAGTGCCTCCACTCGTGTCCCGAGGGCCGGGAGCTACTCTAGTACCTCCACTCGTATCCCGAGGGCCGGGAGCTACTCTAGTACCTCCACTCGTGTCCCGAGGGCCGGGAGCTACTCTAGTACCTCCACTCGTGTCCCGAGGGCCGGCAGCTACTCTAGTACCTCCACTCGTGTACCGAGGGCCGGGAGCTACTCTAGTACCTCCACTCGTATCCCGAAGGCCGGGAGCTACTCTAGTACCTCCACTCGTGTCCCGAGGGCCGGGAGCTACTGTCGTAGCTCCACTAGCTCGTGTCCCGAAGGTCGGGAGCTACTCTGGTACCTCCACTCGTGTCCCGAGGGCCAGGAACTGCTCTAATACCTCCACTCGTGTCCCGAGGGCCGGGAGCTGCTCTAGTACCTCCACTCGTGTCCCGAGGGCCGGGGCTACTCTGTAGTACCTCCACTAGCTCGTGTTCCGAGGGGTGGGAGCTACTCTAGTACCTCCACTCTCGTGTCCCGAGGGCCGGGAGCTACTCTAGTACCTCCACTCGTGTCCCGAGGGCCAAGAGCTACTCTAGTACCTTCACTAGTGTCCCGAGGGCCGGGAGCTACTCTAGTACCTCCACTCGTGTCCCGAGGGCCGGGAGCTACTGTAGTACCTCCACTCGTGTCCCGAGGGCCGGGAGCAACTGTAGTACCTCCACTCGTGTCCCGAGGGCCGGGAGCTACTGTAGTACCTCCACTCGTGTCCCACGGGCCGGGAGCTACTGTAGTACCTCCACTAGCTCGTGTCCCGAAGGCCGGGAGCTACTCTAGTACCTCCACTCGTGTACCGAGGGCCGGGAGCTACTGTAGTACCTCCACTCGTGTCCCGCGGGCCGGGAGCTACTCTAGTACCTCCACTAGCTCGTGTCCCGAAGGCCGGGAGCTTATCTAGTACCTCCACTCGTGTCCCGAGGAACGGGAGCTACTCTAGTACCTCCACTCGTGTCCCGAGGGCCGGGAGCTACTCTAGTACCTCCACTCGTGTCCCGAGGGCCGGGAGCTACTCTAGACCCTCCACTCGTGTCCCGAGGGCCGGGAGCTACTGTAGTACCTCCACTAGCTCGTGTCCCGAAGGCCGGGACTTATTCTAGTACCTCCACTCGTGTCCCGCGGGCCGGGAGCTACTGTAGTACCTCCACTAGCTCGTGTCCCGAGGGCCGAGAGCTACTCTAGTACCTCCACTCGTGTCCCGCGGGCCGGGAGCTACTGTAGTACCTCCACTAGCTCGTGTCCCGAAGGCCGGGAGCTACTGTAGTACCTCCGCTCGTGTCCCGCGGGCCGGGACCTACTCTAGTAACTCCACTCGTGTCCCGAGGGCCGGGGGTAACTCTAGTACCTCCACTCGTGTCCCGAGGGCCGGGAGCTACTGTAGTACCTCCACTAGCTCGTGTCCCGAAGACCGGGAGCTACTGTAGTATCTCCACTCGTGTCCCGCGGGTCGGGAGCTACTCTAGTACCTCCACTCGTGTCCCGCGGGCAGGGAGCTACTCTAGTACCTCCACTCGTGTTCCGAGGGCCGTGAGCTACTCTAGTACCTTCACTAGTGTCCCGAGGGCCGGGAGCTACTGTAGTACCTCCACTCGTGTCCCGAAGGCCGGAAGCTACTGTAGTACCTCCACTAGCTCGTGTCCCGAAGGCCGGGAGCTACTCTAGTACCTCCACTCGTGTCCCGCGGGCCGGGAGCTACTGTAGTACCTCCACTAGCTCGTGTCCCGAGGGCCGGGAGCTACTGTAGTACCTCCACTCGTGTCCCGCGGGTCGGGAGCTACTGTAGTACCTCCACTAGCTCGTGTCCCGAGGGCCGGGAGCTACTCTAGTACCTCCACTCGTGTCCCGCGGGCCGGGAGCTACTCTAGTACCTCCTCTCGTGTCCCGCGGGCCGGGAGCTACTCTAGTACCTCCACTCGTGTTCCGAGGGCCGTGAGCTACTCTAGTACCTTCACTAGTGTCCCGAGGGCCGGGAGCTACTGTAGTACCTCCACTCGTGTCCCGAGGAACGGGAGCCACTCTAGTACCTTCACTAGCTCGTGTCCCGAGGGCCGGGATCTGCTCTAGTACCTCCACTCGTGTCCCGCAGGCCGGGAGCTACTGTAGTACCTCCACAAGCTCGTGTCCCGAGGGCCGGGAGCTACTGTAGTACCTCCACTCGTGTCCCGAGGGCCGGGAGCTACTCTAGTACCTCCACTCTCGTGTCCCGAGGGCCGGGAGCTACTGTAGTACCTCCACTCGTGTCCCGAGGGCCGGGAGCTACTGTGGTACCTCCCACTCGTGTCCCGAGGGCCGGGAGCCACTCTAGTACCTTCACTAGCTCGTGTCCCGAGGGCCGGGAGCTACTCTAGTACCTCCACTCGTGTCCCGAGGGCCGGGAGCTACTCTAGTACCTCCACTCGTGTCCCGAGGGCCGGGAGCTACTCTAGTACCTCCACTCGTGTCCCGAGGGCCGGGAGCTACTGTAGTACCTCCACTACTGTAGTTACTCGTGTCCCGAAGGCCGGGAGCTACCATAGTACCTCCTCACTCGTGTCCCGAGGGCCGGGAGCTACTGTAGTACCTCCACTCGTGTCCCGCGGGCCGGGAGCTACTCTAGTACCTCCACTCGTGTCCCGAGGGCCGGGAGCTACTCTAGTACCTTCACTAGTGTCCCGAGGGCCGGGAGCTACTGTAGTACCTCCACTCGTGTCCCGAGGGCCGGGAGCTACTCTAGTACCTCCACTAGCTCGTGTCCCGAGGGCCGGGAGCTACTCTAGTACCTCCACTCGTGTCCCGCGGGCCGGGAGCTACTGTAGTACCTCCACAAGCTCGTGTCCCGAGGGCCGGGAGCTACTGTAGTACCTCCACTCGTGTCCCGCGGGCCGGGAGCTACTCTAGTACCTCCACTCGTGTCCCGAGGGCCGGGAGCTACTCTAGTACCTCCACTCGTGTCCCGAGGGCCGGGAGCTACTCTAGTACCTCCACTCGTCGTCCCGAGGGCCGGGAGCTGCTCTAGTACCTCCTCCACTCGTGTCCCGAGGGGCCGGGAGCTACTCTAGTACCTCCACTCGTGTCCCGAGGGCCGGGAGCTACTCTAGTACCTCCACTCGTGTCCCGAGGGCCGGGAGCTACTGTAGTACCTCCACTCCCGAGCTCGTGTCCCGAGGTCCCGGCCGGGAGCTACTCTAGTACCTCCACTCGTGTCCCGAGGGCCGGGAGCTACTGTAGGGTCCCACTAGCTCGTGTCCCGCGGGCCGGGAGCTACTCTAGTACCTCCACTCTCGTGTCCCGCGGGCCGGGAGCTACTGTAGTACCTCCACTAGCTCGTGTCCCGAGGGGCCGGGAGCTACTGTAGTACCTCCACTCGTGTCCCGCGGGCCGGGAGCTACTCTAGTACCTCCACCTCCCGAGGGCCGGGGCTACTCTAGTGTCCCGAGGGCCGGGAGCTACTCTAGTACCTCCACTCGTGTCCCGAGGGCCGGGAGCTACTCTCTAGTACCTCCACTCGTGTCCCGAGGGCCGGGAGCTACTCTAGTACCTCCACTCGTGTGTGTCCCCGAGGGCCGGGAGCTACTCTAGTTACCTTCACTAGTCGATCATGTCTAGTACCTCCACTTTGTCCCGTGGGCCGGGAGCTACTGTAGGTACCTCCACTCGTGTCCCGAGGGCCAATGGACTTAGTACCTCCACTCTCGCCCGGAGCTACTGTACCCCGAGGGCCGGGAGCTACTGTCAGTGAGTACCTCCACTCGTGTCCTTTTCGAGGGCTGAAATTGCGACTACTTATAGAACTACCTGTGCACTCGTGTTCCCGTAGACGTCCGGTAGATGCTACTGTAGTACCTCCACTCGTCATCCCGCAGGGCCACCAGCTCGTTATAAGATACCTCCACTTAGGCGTGTGTGTGGTTCCTCCAACTTTGGCCGGGAGCTACTCTAGTCCACCTCCACTCGTGTTCCGAGGGCCGGGAGCTACTCTAGTACCTCCACTCGTGTCCCGAGGAACGGGAGCTACTCTAGTACCTCCACTCGTGTCTCGAGGAACGGAGCTACTCTAGACCTTCCACTCGTGTCCCGAGGAACGGGAGCTACTCTACTATCTCCACTCGTGTCCCTAGGGCCGGGAGCTACTGTAGTACCTCCACTCGTGTCCCGCGGGACGGGAGCTACTGTAGTACCTCCACTAGCTGGTGTCCCGAGGGACGGGAGCTACTCTAGACCTTCCACTCGTGTCCCGAGGGCCGGGAGCTACTGTAGTACCTCCACTCGTGTCCCGAGGAGCGGGAGCTGCTCTAGTACCTCCACTCGTGTCCAGAGGGCCGGGAGCTACTCTAGTACCTCCACTCGTGTCCCGAGGAACGGAGTTACTCAAGCAGCTGCCCTTCCGATTTTAATAATAATGGCCGTGGTTTATCCACGTTTCTGGAAGTGGTATCGTCGTTTCAACAGTAATGTATTTGTCACGGCACAACAGCCCATTTCCAATTTCGAAACTGAACCGTCTATGGCGTCGACGAGCTTGCTTAAAACCTCAAGGATCATAGGTTGCCCAGTCGTCTGAGGTTCTGCGATACGCCGTACAGAGGTGCCTCCTTTAAGGATGCCAGAAGTCTATGATTATGGGTTTAAATCCCCGTTCGCCCTGGTCATGTGTCCGTAGACGTGTCCGACCCACACACGGCGCTCGTCGGTTTGCAACAAGCGATACACGTGGAACACCTGCATCACGTCCCCGTTCCCCTCTCTAGATGTCATGTCGGGATGAAGCTCATGGAACCAGACTTTACCTCTGAAAACATACAATATGAACCAGTTAAATGTTTTTATTGAGGCGTGTCCATGCTCTTGAGCTGTCAACTTATTCTATAGGTTTATGACTGCAATAAATCAGATCTACCAAAGGCTGTACAAGTGATCTAGGTCAGTGGAGGCCATGGACGATACAGTTCGCTACATGTCCCTGTGTTTACAAGATTTCCGGTTTTTCAGTTGCGTTGTCTAGTGGACTGGTGGTTAAACCTGATCGGCGAAATCCACCGCAAGTTTGGAATTGGCGGCGATTCTGACCCCTCATCCCCGAACTGCGGGGTGTTCAAGAGGGTGGGTATAGGGGGAGTTCAGTTGGAACTGCGAGGGCACGGCATGTATCGCTCTGTTTGGACATACAATATATTCTTGAAGTTACACCGGTCAGTGTAGCTGGATGCTGAACCTGTACCCCACAATATGTCAAACCCCGACTCTTTTTGCTCAGAAACATTCCAGTTCTAAAATGCCGACTGTCGATGATAATAAATAATAATTAACGAATGGTTCACATGTCTCGACAAAGCCGTGAGTGAATGTTGTTTCTGTAGTCATCTTCGTTTCATGCATTGACATGACCGTCATATCAAAACGAATTCTTTCAAAATAACAGTTTATACAATTACATATCCAAAAGACTTTGTAATCCATTTCTTCCATATTATGGCGTGATTTACTATAGCAACATGAGGTAACCCGGTGCTCTGTACTTGTTTAGAGTAGTAAGGAGAGCCGTGTTCTTGTACAGATATCAGATCCCCTGTTCCGTGTACTATGTCATTCAATAACCCCAGGCAGCACCTGGGCCGACCACGTCTGTGAAGGCGGCCTTGCTTGTGATAGGGTGTCTAGTTTCAAGGTTCCAGCTGAACTACCCCGTGTGTGTTGTAAGCCTAGTGACTGTAGACTGCATCTTGCTGCATTTGCTTGTAACTTCATCCACTGACCGTATAAAGACACGAAGATAATCTGTACCTTCTCCCTCGGCTGCTGTTATTAACGTGTTCATGTCTCATGACACTTTCATGAGCCACTTAATGCTTACATAAAGGAATGTCCGGTTGAGACAAGTGTGAGGTGTAACACGCTAGGAAGTATCTAACACACTGTTTACTAACCAACTCAAGTCTGTCTCACTCACTCACTCACTCACTCACTCACCCACCCTCTCACTCACTGGTTTTGTCATATCTGTACGGTACTTGCAGAGGGCTGTCAATGCTGACTGGTCTGATGAAGCTATGTATACTCAAGTTACGTTATTGATAGGAGAATACTTTACCCTATCTAATATTAATGACGTCACACATGGACAACGTGACATGATTGGTTACTTCTGATTTTCTTATATTCAATGTCTTCGTTAGAAACATGGCCATGGCCGGAAACGTGGTTACGCGTGTTCACGTTGCGGTCATGAAATGCGATATCGTACAGTTTCTGTGTTCGACTGGTCGATAACGTCTACCAAAGAAGCCACACTTGTTTCACTTCCTCCACCCACTATGATAATTTGAGTTCGCGCGACATTCAAGGTCGCTGCTACCGAAACGCGGTCCGGAGACACGATAACTTGCTGTAAAGTGAAGTCGCAAAAACGTAAACAACGACAGGCTGACTTCAATATGTGTCTCTGAACGGCTGGCAGTACATTAATCTTTCTTAGTTTTCATTGTTTACGTGACAACCCTAGTGTACAGTACACATCCCTGTGCACTTAAAAGAACCCACGAATCCGTTAGTATATGACCAGATGGTGGCCACATGAATACGTGCAAACACCAAGTTGCGTGTACAGCAACGTGCAGTGGACTTGGACAAAGTACTGTGACTATGTGTCCCAGTCAACCAAGCTGTGAATACCTCGTTAGGATGAGAAGGCCACAATAACTCAGTGCGCCTAGTGGCTGCAAGAGTTGTATGCTCCCCAGGGAGTTGAGATTGATAACACGATGAGACTGACATCCAATGATCGAGGGACAAAATACCAGCGCCTTGAGCAAGCACTAGTTGCCTGGATATGTGCGCCATATAAATAAAAGAAATATCATATAAGAATAATAATGAGTAATTTCTGAAATACCCAACTCGAAACTTGGAGTAGAGGATTAAACTCACTTGTAGGTCTACAGTTGACCATGCGTGGTTCCAGCAGTGAGGGGTGGCGACCCTACGGTGTGTAGTGTGTCCTGTTGGGAAACAACGGTGTTGGACAATCACTCAATATTATTAGACTGGACAGTTTGATGTACATTCTAAATCCTGTCTGATTGCTAGAGGACTCGTGTTCACCCTCCACCTCGAGTACAGTATTGTAGATGTGCAGGTTATAGCCGGGGTATTTACTTATGTGTACAATGTCAGCATCTCCAGCAGGAGCAGCATCAGCCGTTAGACACGAGTATGTAGTTGTGACGTCATGCGCTAACTAGGTTGTACAAGAGACCATATAATAGATTATTATCTGGTCTCTGGTTATACACTGGGTATAATGAGGTGTATATAACCACGATTATCACACCAGAACAGTACCCTCGTTGTATGTACAGACTATAGATCTTCGGAGCACATGTTTAATGTTTGTGTACATGTAACCCTTACAACCAACATAAATAGACATATATCCATATAAATATGTATAAGGTTACGAGAAAGGTGGTTCTACGACGGAACACACAGATATTGTTCCGCTGTACTCTCTCCCCTTCACCACACTGTAAGATCTGGTCCACACATATAGGAGTAGATATACTTGCCTCGATGCTCTTTAGATTCTGACACACTTCACAGCATTCAGAGAGAGAGATCTGTTTTGACATCACCACTGTGCAATGTCTGATTCACACACGCACACGCACGCGCGCACACACACACACACACATGTTTTGACATCACCGCTCTGAAATGTCTCACACACACATCTGTTTTGACATCACCGCTCTGAAAGGTCACACACACACACACACACACACACACACACACACACACACACACACACACACACACACACACACACACACACACACACACATCTGTTTTGACATCACCACTCTGCATCATCTGATTCTGTCGCTCACACAGATCCTCGGGGCATGTATTCGTTGTTTCCTGAGTTTAGTCCAGTGCCGGAGTTGCCAGTTGGTTACATGCTGCTGCTGCAGTGTCGTGCACCTGTTCAACACCCGTGATCGTGAGTCACCTGATTCTGATTCACCTGATTCTGATTCACACATGTATCCATTTACACACACAGGACTTATATTTCCACAAATGTTCATTATTGAACAGGGTTTGAAGTGCACCTTATTTAACTGTTGCGCAAAGAGCATGCCCTTGAGGTGTGGAGTTACTACTGCGCTCTACAAATGTCCATATTATTATTATTATTAACAGGGGTTTGAAGTGCACCTTATTTAACAGGGTTTGAAGTGCACCTATTTAACAGGGTTTAGAAGTGCACCTTATTTAACAGTGTTTGAAGTGCACCTATTTAACAGGGTTTAGAAGTGCACCTTATTTAACAGGGTTTGAAGTGCACCTTATTTAACAGGGTTTGAAGTGCACCTTATTTAACAGGGTTTAGAAGTGCACCTTATTTAACAGGGTTTGAAGTGCACCTATTTAACAGGGTTTAGAAGTGCACCTTATTTAACAGGGTTTGAAGTGCACCTTATTTAACAGGGTTTGAAGTGCACCTATTTAACAGGGTTTTGAAGTGCACCTTATTTAACAGGGTTTGAAGTGCACCTTATTTAACAGGGTTTGAAGTGCACCTTATTTAACAGGGTTTGAAGTGCACCTTATTTAACAGGGTTTTGAAGTGCACCTTATTTAACAGGGTTTTGAAGTGCACCTTATTTAACAGGGTTTTGAAGTGCACCTTATTTAACAGGGTTTGAAGTGCACCTTATTTAACAGGGTTTGAAGTGCACCTTATTTAACAGGGTTTGAAGTGCACCTTATTTAACAGGGGTTTGAAGTGCACCTATTTAACAGGGTTTGAAGTTACCTTATTTAACAGGGTTTGAAGTGCACCTTATTTAACAGGGTTTGAAGTGCACCTTATTTAACAGGGGTTTGAAGTGCACCTATTTAACAGGGTTTTGAAGTGCACCTTATTTAACAGGGTTTGAAGTGCACCTTATTTAACAGGGGTTTGAAGTGCACCTATTTAACAGGGTTTGAAGTTACCTTATTTAACAGGGTTTGAAGTTACCTTATTTAACAGGGTTTGAAGTTACCTTATTTAACAGGGTTTGAAGTGCACCTATTAAACAGGGTTTGAAAACTGCACCTGTGAGTGAACGTCCGAAAAGTTCACGGTCAACCACTAGATTAAACTGTTAAACTATTTAAGTATAATCTAGAATGATCCACCCACCTACCCCTGTAGATATGTGAGGTGAATACTGTGATATTACTCAATGGTCCATCATTTGAAATGCAAAATATCCACTCAAAGACAATGATGAACAAAACATCATATTTCAATATCTGTGATGGATAATTCAGAAAATAAGTAAAGAAAACCCAAACTTTAAATGCAGACTGTTGTGACGACGAAGTGTTGTCAACACTCCAAGGTGCAGATACACAGGTACACGATCCCTCGTCCGGGTCACATATCATGTTGTAATTATAGACTTGGCAACATATGTCTATCATTTGAAACCATATCCTCGAGCTTGTATTCTAATGCAGACACTCTGTGTACAAGTGACGCCATCACATTGTGAAAGTTTGATAAAAATTATGTATATATCAAACGCCAACTGTAAATGACATTGTCCTGTATGTAAATACTAATATGTTTTATGTTTGATTGAATTCATGTATCCATAATCTTCGGATTGATTTCTGGAGGAGCTGCTGTCGAGTATTATAACGCCTCTTGTATAAGAAATCATGTCCGTCTGCAATCTGACAGCTGAATTTGCTCCTGTTGATCGTTTAGGTTCAATATAAATGGCATCCCATTTTGGGGAGATTATCGCCACAAAGAGGGATTAGGGATTCGTGTGCACTATAAACGTTCGTGGCTTTATGCCTAATCGATATACCAGTGCACGAGGTGACGTCATTATTTGTTTCAAAATAGACGAGATACACTAGTAATACCTTCACCCTCTCTCTCTCTCTCTCTCTCTCTCTCTCTCTCTCTATTGCTCTCTCTCTCTCTCACTCATCCCCTTCCCTCTCTCTCTCGCTCTCTCTCTTTCTATTATCAGGGTATTTATAAATATGTTCATTTGGTCACAAAATCGCCGAAATGTTTAATAGGACACTTGACTACC